CCGGGGGGGCGGGGAAGGCCGGCCCGCGGGGGGAGCCACGGGCAGGGGAGCCAGCTAGGGAACGACCCTTCGGGCCCTGCTGGAGGAGGGAAGAGATGCTCCCGGGTCACGATCGGACTTTCTCAGCAAAGGACAAAGCAGATCAAACACAAAGGTGCATCTGACCGGAAACGGATAGTACCGCTTTTCTAAGGGGCTTGTAAAACAAAGACCGCAAGCGATAGCCACGAGACGCTGTATCGCCGCTGACGAAGCCGGAAAGGAGACACAGGAGGCACGCGCATCCCTCGCTCAGCCCCAAGCCCTTCAGGCGTTTTGCCCGACACTGCAACAGCTGCTCCGGAAACGCAGACTGACGTTGTCAAGATTGCCAGAGGGAGACACCACCCACTGCTGCTTGCCCTACCGCCACCAGCTATAACCCCCAATAGCTTTACTTGCTGCCTATTTTAGGGAGTGCTTAGTACTTAGGTGTCTTCTCCATCAGTTTATTACTTGAGGTTTCAAAAAGTTAGTCTGCAATTTCAGCTGTTTTTACACACCGAATCCCATGATTGAGCTGCGCTAATAAACATTACTCAGTTTTTTCCTCTTTTTCTAATCCTTTACCTAAAAGGACACAAGCACAAAGAAGAAAAACACTGAAAAAAATAGCCTTAAGCTCAGTTTCATCCTCCAGGCAGCAGCATGCACGTGGATGGTAGACACCGTCTAACTCCCGGTCCCGTTTCACTCTTCCTCAGCCCTCGGTTTTGCTACACAACAGCCACCGGTTTGCTCCGCTGGTGGGAGAGCGCAGGGTAGGAGACCTGCTACCAACCCGTCAGTCAGGCTCTGCCTCTCCCCCTTTCCCTGCTCCGTGTCCGCACCGCGCTCCTGTCCCAGGGCGCCCCGATCAAGGCTGACACCACGCACAGTGCGGTCCCTCCACCTAAAGGACCTGAAGGAGTTGGACGGGAAAACGCGCTTGAATCCTCAGGGGTGAGAACGCGAGTCTCGATACCTTCCTGTTAATGCGTGAAAGTTCACCTAAATGCACGCTCCCCCCCGCTGATAAATTCTTTGCATTAAAGGCTGGTCTCATAGTGCACATGAAGAGCCCGGTATAATAAAGCCGTGGCTTAGATTTTCTATTATAACTAGAGAGAAGAAAGGAAGAAGAGAGAAGCAAGTTTTCAGGGGAAAGAAACCCCAAACCTCACATTTCCAACATCTATTTCTACTTTCAGCAGGTCGGAAAGGGCTCTAAGTCCCATCGTAGAAGGGGAAAAGGGTCGGGAGCTGCACACCCAGATCCATTGCATTTCCCAATGGGGAAGAAAATTCTGAAAGTTCGCGGTTCATTTTCTTAGCTCAAACCTCAAAGAAGGAAAAAAAAAATCCTTTTAAAGAAGGTAAAGTTGAGCAGATAAGATACTGTCCTGGTAGAAAGAACAACCCTAACTCACAAAGTTTTTGAATGAGCCAAATTGTTGACTTCCAATTGTATTTATGCTCTCAAGACAGACACCAGCAATCTTAGGGCAGGCTGCTGTTAGACTACATGAAAACGCAGGGGAAAACAAAAACCCAAAGAAAGAGCAAAGTTAACTTAAAAACCATAAGTGCAATCGTTACTTTTGTCTTTTTCGTTGCTCCATCAAGCACCATTTCTTTACTGCCCGCAGCAGCCTGCCTGCCGGTCCCGTTGCGCAGGGCACGGCCACCCAAGGGTCGCTCTGCTCTCCAAGCTGCTTTTGGCAGCTCGATAAGACGCAGCCAGACCAGTTCATCTGACGCACCGTAACGCCTGTGAGTCCAGGACTGTGAGTTTTGGACTCCCCAGCCCATCTCTGCCAATGCCAACCACAGAAAGTGCCACACTTCAGCAGGCTGTTTAGAAAACGCAAGGGTTTGCCTGCAAGAGATACTGTTGCCTAATGCTCGAGCAGGAGGAAGAGAGTGCGAGTTATCCTTTACTACAACCAACACCATCAGTAGCTTATTTTTGAATTCACTACATCGCTTTTTTTTTTTTTTAAGCTAGAAGATTGCAAAACGGAGGATGTGCATGTTTAACTATTAGATGCTACCGACAGAAAGACTATGGAATTGCATCATGTGCACTCCGGTTTATCCCAGCCCATTCTCCTAATTCCACGTAAGGACAAATAGCCTCGTTAGCCCCCTGATTTGAGAGGTCTATGAATAACCACAGCTGAGGAACCAAGTGCACCCCCGCCCGTCCCCCAAACCCGAGTAAGGGATCCCCCAATCTGATGCGTTCACAGGCATCCGGGACTGCGTTGCCTGCCTCCCCCGACACGGTCCCCAGAGCCGCAGCCCCCCCCGGGGGCCGGG